GTGCAACAAATCACAAGCTGTAACTCCAAATGCATCAGGAGCTATACTGTTTTCACTGAAAATCTCTTTGTCTGCCTGTTCATTTAAAGATAAAATTCAAACTCGAAGCTTCTGATGTCCTAAAAGGTCTATAATTCCAGCCATCAGAATATACGTCTTCCTCTTAATATTCTGGCATTTTAGTTTTCTCTTACAAGATAACCTCACTAGCACTCAAACAAAATTACTGAGCAACAGCACTTTCCTACATGAAGATCCAACTAACTTTCAAGTATGTTCTCCTTGCTGGTTCAGCCAAGCACAGATTTCCCATTCATGGTAAGGTGACCTTTTCAATCCAATTTAACTTGCGTTTCGACAACTATTTATTGAAGCAGAGGATCTTAAGAAGTAGCAGAACGATGATGTCTCGTCACAAGTTACCCAAAGGAAAAAAACCCCAAACCCTGAAGTAACACAAGCCTATGGGCTGGAAAAAAAAAAAAAATCTCTTAAAAATCAGGTACTTGTGCACGTAACAAGCATGGTATCTCCCCCCAAAATTTTTGAGTGCATGCACATACACACCATATCAGAGCGACATGATAAAATGTACTTAGACTAACACGTACTGCACACTAACTCAGAAACAAAATTAATCCTCTTAAGGAGATTTAAATAGACAGATGTGACTCTTGTAAGCAGCCACATCTGTGTGTAGTTTCTATGAGCTGTTCATGAATCATTCTACGATGACTACAGAGAGTGCGCTCTGAGGAGATCAAGTGTGCTAAAGCCAAACTGGAATACATTTTCCTAACGTCAGAAAAAATTTCATCACCAACCTACAACACTTCATCCTGAAGCCATTTTCTAGGTTGTTCTTCTAGACCTTCGGGGCATATCTGTATTTGTGTCTCTGTAAATCTCTTGCTTTTTGAGCTAACTCTCCTTGGCTATAATGAGAGAGTTTTTCACCTTCTCTTTTCCTGCGTATGTCCTTTGGCATGCTTGCAACTATGAAAAGCAACCCACACATCTTTAAATACAGAGACATGGACCTCTGAAAAAGAGATGCTATTATCCTTTTCTAACACGCTTCGAAATTCCTTCTGGTCCTGGCTGACAAATCAATACAGGAGCAAATGTACCAGCATACAGCTAGAAGACTGTCTAGAAGTGAACATTTGCGCAGAAAAAACATAGCAAGGATTTCAGACTGTGAGCACAGAACAGAAAATCATCTCCGTTCAACGTACGAACCCACTGATACTGGAATCAGAGATGTAACTTTGTCACTGGAGGACCAAACACAAATTTGTCTGCTAAACAAACGCCCTGGGTCTGTCAGCAAGTTTGTGACAATGCATGTCCCAGTGTCTGCTGGGACAGTAATTCTCCATTTTCAACACTCGCAAACTGAGACCACAATCATATTTACTAGGTCTGTATACAATTGTTATTGTCTCTTTTAGATGCATCAATTTTTGCTGTCAGCATGATTATGACTTAAAAAGAAACTTCTGCTAAATTCTACTACGTGATCTCATATTCCTTTCATGCTCTGAAGGAGCATATGCACTCTAACTAGGCAGACGTACACCCGCTGCCAATCTGATTTCCGTCTTTCACCTAAACACTGGAGGTAGCCAGCATCCACGAGACAAAACACCGTTAGGGATGGAAAGCAGGCTCCAGGAGCGACAGTCAGTCATTTGGATGTTTTAGGACAATGAATCAGAGCACAGCAGTAACGGACGCCATGGGATATGTGCTGTTTGGGTATTATGTCAGCTTCTGCAAGCAAAACCAAGCCCTTTCTGGATATGTGGCTACTCTGAGTTTCCAGTTTCTCTCAGAAAAAGACTTGCTAAGAAATTCCCTGGAATCTGGGCCCCAGAGAGGGTGATGGGGTAGAGAGGAGGAGGGTAAGGGGGTATAAGGTGCTCACACCAAAGCCATGTGACCAATGCAAAGGTAGTCAGGAAAAAAAGCAGATTTTTATAATAAATAAACCATCCAAGCTGCATTAGTGTTCCAGATATGTACTCAACAAGACCCTCTTCCAACCACAAACCAGCAAGAATGGGACATGAAAACTCATTCAGACAGCTAATGGCACAGTCTCTTTGAACTGTGGAGAGAGGATTTTACGCTGATTTAAGGCCCACCTTTCTTTGTGTTTCCTAGATATATGCAAGGACCATGACCCCCCACCCCGCCACAAAACCCTTAGGGAGTAGAGGACATATCGGAGAAAAGACCGGTAGTATCCCCCCCCCCTTAACAAAAAAAAGCTTCCTGATAAATCGTATTTTTGCACAGGCGTGAAAGTAAGCGGGAACTTTCAGAGTCAGGAATGAACGTTATAGCTGCCGTTTTCCCCATCCTCTTACTTCACTGAACACAAGCCCCAGGGACTTGCATTCCTTTGGCAGAAACTGTAGTCCGTGCTATGGCCTCCAGACCAATATAGTGGGTACCAGCATCCCCTCTTCCACTTCTTCCCCACCTCCCTGAAGCTGACCCCGCTATACCTTTTACTGCTCTGAAGCTATTACTGTGGGCCATCTCCATTTCTGCAGTATTATTCATAGCCCTAAAAGTCTCCTGCACAGCCTGAAGTCATAGAGACACGTCAAAAATACTTAGATTTATCCATACTGGTGGGATGAGGGTGGGACCTGTTGGATTAACAATCCCCTGACATTGCCATTCTATTTACACATCAAACAAAAGAAAACAAATTAAAATCAAGTTAAGAGTCTGCCCCAAGGATAACACAAATTACCAACCAAAAAAAAAAAAAAGATTAAAAACAAGCAGCAACTTTTATATAAAATTAATAAAAACAAAAGACAAATGAAAAAGAAATTGTCAGTAGCATCTATCGCCTCTCTGCATCTGAACTGCACTTATACAAACTAGTCCATTAGTACAGCAGCTTGCTAGAAATTGACTTTGGTTCAAGCTTAGTTTTAAAAAAATAAAACATAAAAAAATCAAAAACGATTAAAAACAAGCAGCAACTTTTATATAAAATTAATAAAAACAAAAGACAAATGAAAAAGAAATTGTCAGTAGCATCTATCGCCTCTCTGCATCTGAACTGCACTTATACAAACTAGTCCATTAGTACAGCAGCTTGCTAGAAATTGACTTTGGTTCAAGCTTAGTTTTAAAAAAATAAAACATAAAAAAATCAAAAACACATTAGAAACGGTGGACGGACATTTGTTAGTTTCCCTGCTTGCAGTTCACTAGTTTTGAAGTTTTAGGGATAATTGGTTTAAATATTCAGTCAAACAGGAAGGTGGAGAGTTAGAGATGAACAGAGCAAAAACATGGCGGTGGGGGGAGAGAGATAAGGGGTTCTGCCACTTGAGTGCAAACGCAAATCCCACATGCTCAGGTCACAAACCAAAGCACATGTAGAGTTTAAAGTTGCTGCCTTCTGGATCTTGGATGAGAAGCTCCAGGATCCCCCTGAATCATCAACAAAATGAACGTAGCTGCATCAGCTCATTATTTAGGACACTCCGGTGACAAAAGAAAAGGGGGCGGGGGGAAAGGGACTCTTCTAATACCCTCGCTAGCTAAAAGTAATTTAGTTTAATACACATGGCAGAAACCTTTAAATCCATCAGGAACGGAAAGTTCAAAGTGAACTGCATTGCAGTGATCCAGTCTTCTCTTTTTAAACATCTTTTTTTTGGTTCAGATACTAGATTGTATATTTAAGAATATACAGATCGAACTTCTGTACAGTTCGTTACTCTTCCTCATCCACTTCAATATCCTTTGCTACATGGATCAGAATCAACCTTGAAAAGATCGTTACAGTGGCAGGCAAGCCCTGACGCTCTGGTCAGAGATGCTTATTGCCGCTTTTACATCGCGAGCGGCATCACAGCTCAGAGGCTCCACGAGATCACCCAGGTATGTGCAAAGCCCCAGAGTCAGCTCTACTGTGTTGGCATAAACGATGGCCGCTTCTGTTCTCATGCTGTTGGCTTCTGTGTCTTGCAGTCAGAAGCACTTTTTTACTAGAAAGTTTTTCTAAATGCAATGTTGGAAGCATCAGAATTAACGGAAAAGGAATATTGCTACGAATAGGGAGAATCTGACCTTTTGAGATCCTGTACCAACTCACCTGGTGGAAATCTAGGAATGCAAATGCTGCTTTACATGCTGCCAATTAGCTTGGGTAACTTGACGCTTTTTAAATATTTGTGGGTGCTCTTAACAGCAAAATCAAACCAATAGAACAGAAGAACCATCGGTATGTCACACGACCTAGACTCGGGAGGTCAAATCCCACTCTCTGAAGTAAAAAGGAACCGTGCGCACAAAGCTAAGCGCAGAATTTGGCCATTTTGTCTAAATAACTGAGAGAAGGAGCACTGCGGTTCGGAACTAATTCCTATCTCTGCTTAAAAAGCATAGACCAGCCTGGAAGTTTGCACACAATGATCTCTACAGCTACACTGAGCTTCCTGCGCAAATGATGAACATAAATTCTTCTGACCCCTACAAGTAACCATTAGACAAATTCAACGATGAGGAAACTGTTCAGAAGATTAGGACAGAAAGTCTATTTGTGCTCCATTCTTCCTCTCCACCCTCCCGCCCTCCCCCCGTGGTGTGGGAGCTCGCTGAAAATAATCCAGGAGCAAAAGACAAACGCGTCCAAACTATATATATAAAAATAATAATAATAATAATCATAATAATAATAATAGAGATACACCAGTAATACAGGCCTGCCTAAATTGTACCAGTTAAGAAAGGAACCCCCAACACAATTGATACGATTATAAACACCTTGTATGACATAATGGCCTGTACAACAGACCTATAAAATGATAATTAAAAAAGAAAGATATTTAGACCAGAAAGAAACAAGAAATCCCCTTCCTATGTTTGAGTTGATAACCCACCTTAACTTGTCATTGTGACTGCTGGAAATGATAAGTAGTCCTTTCACTTTTTTTGTGGTTTTTTTGTTTTTTTGTTTTTTGTTTTTTTTACATTTTTGGTTAGAAAGTTCTCCGATCCATGAAGCGATCCTGAAAAGACAGTGTTTATTATAAAATTAGGCAAATGTCTGTCCCAGCTTTGAATCCTTCCTGTTTTGCTTTTGTTTTTTTTATATTTTTCCTTCTCTCCCTTGTCCCCAGCAACACGGCGAGAGGATGCCCATCACATTTTCAGTTTATAAACCCCGCTGGCAGCCAATCCCACCGCACAGTGAAACAGGCTGCTGGCAGCACAGCTCAGCCCGGCTCACTGTGCCTTGGAGGCAGTAGTGGTGGTGGATGTGGCCCCGCTCGCAGAGGCCACGGTGAGGAGAGAGTTCTGGATGGACTCGGCTGAGGTGGAGGTGGCGTGAAGGCTGGCGACTGGTCCAGAGGCCCCTGCGGAGGCTGCAGCTGCAGAGACCAAGCTAACTGGGTTGCTGGTGAGCAGAGAAAGGTTCTGAGGGTTCAGGAACAGAGGGGCAGTTACGATGTTAGGAGTACCTCCAGCATTGGCAAACACCAAGTTTCCAGTTGCATCCAGTGATGTTATTGGAAGAGAGCCACCAGACGCAAGAGCTAAAAAAGGGAAAATTGAGCAGGGAGGACATAACATTAGCAGTAAGCAACAACGCAAAACGTGCGTGAAAGCAACTGGTCTCTGCATTCTCCTTTCTCTGATATGCGTGCTCTCTACACCACTAATGACAGTCATCTCATCTTAGGTTGTTTTTTAAAAAACACAACTCTTTCTGAAGAGTGGACAAGATCTTGCAGATACTAAAATGCCTCTGTCGTCTGCTCCTAAACTAATTCCGTTATGCCTTTCTTCAGATCTTTAAGCGCAATACTGGCCGCAGGAAACCTGTACATTCAGGCAACCTGTACTGGAAAGGGTTGAGATGAGTGTTCACATGAAATGACAGGTATCACAAGATGAAGAAGGTCATGTAACCTTGAGCGTAACATTGTAAATGTTACAATGTTACAACTTACTCTCTGTTACAACTTACTCTCACCAGTCTACAGGCTTCAGTCTGCCTTAGATTATGATCTTGTAAATTTAGCTGTGACACTTTACAAAACATTTTTTTCTTGCACCCTAGAAACAAGATTTGTTAAGTAGTTTAGAGGATACTTGAATACATAGGTTAGCTAGCTCTTTAGGCACTTGCGCGATCTAGTTTTTACAGGTGACACACTATGAACTGAGAACAACTCTTGCTGAAGTCAGTGGAAACTTCTGGCTGCGTGACACTTCCAGAATAAATCTTTACTCCTCTGAATAAGGATTTATGGATTTAAAGTTCTACATAAGGACTTTAGGAGGCAGGTGGTTTGTTGTGGGTTCTTTTTAAATGCATATGAGGACAAGAATTCAGGATCAAGTCTTGCTCGGAACTGCCCTCCTAACAGACTTCAAAAGAGCACAACTCTGCTCAAGCTTATGCTAGAAGAGCTATAAAAAGCAAATCTCTAACCTGCTGGAGATACATGCCAATGGGGGGAGGATAACAAAATAAATTCCAGATCACGTTCAATATCTTAAGTGCCTCCTGAAAATCTCTACAAAATCATACACAGTTCTAATTCCCTTTCTGAAGTTGTACCTGCTCTTATCTCTGTGATACATGAAATGCATTTGCACATTTAAATTTTGTAAAACCTTTACTCCTATAACATTTATGTCCAGTGCTGAGGAGCCAGTGTTCTTTTTTGGTAGAGAAAAAGAAAGCACGTAAACTCAAGTTGTATCACAGAGGTGCATTAAAAGAATACTGCTGACCTTGAATAGTTGCCAGTGTACTGTTGCTCATCAAGGCCGGGCTGAGAGCACCACCCAATGTCCCTGGATTGAGACTGAGTAAGGCACCTCTGGAGGAAGCAAGATCATGGAAGAAGAAACAAAGACAAAGGGAAGGAGTGTTACTTTTAAGAAAAGGTTGTCACTGCTCAGAAGTACACCATCATATTTAAAAAAAAAAGGGGGGGGGGGGCGGGGGAGGGGGGAGAGACCAGAGGGGGGGGGGGGGGGGGGGGGGGGGGATAGGTGGAAAGACCAGAGATTAAGGGCTAATTGTAGTTTATTTTAGTTTTTCCTTCACGACGCCTTGAGTTTCAGCTATGTGGTTAGCAACATGCCTGAAGTACAGGTACTGTAAATACATGACTTGTATTGATTGTTGCTGTAAAATATTCTTGTAAGTATTTTGGGGAAACTGCCACTCGTTAGAGAGCTATCATCATCTCCCAAATTCAGATAAGAAAGATGTAAATCAAGAGGAATTGAAGAAACAAAGTAGTCATCTCTCAGAGCAACGTTTTTAAAACTAGAACTTCAACAATACATCATCATGCCTCTTTTACAGCTTCTTGCTGATGATGGAGAAATGATTACAGAGGTGTGAAGTGGGTCTAAGCTAGCTCTCCATTTTACAATTAGTAGAACAGATGCTATGATTCACTGGTAAGTTGCAGCTCTTAAGTCAAGCTCTGCAGTGGGATGGATGACTTATCAAATCACAACACTGCTGCAACACAGCTTTTTCATCTGTAAAATGAAAACATTTGTGTACATTGATGGGAATGGTCAATTACCATCTCTAAGTAAACCTTCAGAATTTGAGATAAACGACAATAGAATCACAAAGTGAGCTACCAGAAAATAGTGATACATAAAAGCCCATACAATTCAGACCAAGAATTCTCCTTCCCTCTTCTGTCACCTCACCTAAAAGGGTGTGAAAAATTCATCCTTACCCAGCTGCAAACTGCGAGGATGCCATCAAGCCTGGGTTTAGTCCTGCTGCAGCAGCCATGGCAGCAAGACTTGCATTTGCAGGCAACTGTGCAGCTCCTTGTAACGCGGCTGCTGCCGCTGTTTGCAACCCTGATGCCGTTACCATCACCTGGCTGGTCCCAAGAGGGGAGGACAAGGGAGTGGAGGTTGTCTGTGTTGTGCTGGTCTCACTGGCACTGGATGCCTCTGAAGTGGAGGCTGAGGCAGAAGGGGAAGGACTCAAGGAGGGTGATGTCACTGCTGAAGAAGCTGGAGGTGCTGTTGAAATCACTGTTGCTGTGTTGTTGGAGGTGGTTTCTGTTGTGCCTAGAAGATTGATTCTGGTTAGATCAGTACAAAACACAGATATGACTGAAGAGAAACCACTACCCACCTGAACTGCACATCCAACTGAAAAGGAGACAATCACACATTTCTGTAGGACCAAGAAGCACCAAGAGTCCAAATGAGAAGCTCAGACTATAATAAAATGACACTTCCAAGAGGAGGCTGAGTAGCTCTAGGATCTAGAAGCTAGCAATGAAATATAGCATATTTCATTCCAGCATCACCTGTGATTTTATCCCCAGAAAAGTCAACTGAATGGTCACAAAGACTGAAGTTTCCTAGTGGAGTAACTAGGAAACCTTGTTCCTAGTGGAACAATGACAAGAATGTCCTGGGCTGCCAGTGAGACCAATACTGAATGACCTTTTGAAGAGCTTAAAATGGGAAAACGGTAGAGGTTAATGTGGGGGCAAGGGAAATCAGCCCTTACCTGTGACTGGCAGACTAGTTACAGCAGGACTGGTCAGAGGGAGCACAGGATTGACAGTCAGGGTTGTAGCTGCACTGCTAGTCACAAGGCTTGGCGTGGTTGCCACCTGGAGGTCAAAAAAGAACACAACTGCTCAACTGGTAAAAGACGGAGTTAGCTACTAGACTTGGATTTCTTTCTTCCCATCCTCAACTGAGGAAGTTATCAGGGAAAACACTGCGTATAAACTAACTTTTTTGTAATTACATTACTTCATCATTCAGTGGACCAACCATAGTACCTTCTCTAATTACCAGCAATATCTTTACTCTTAATCATTCAGTATTTGGAGATGTATCCATTACATCCATACTGTCTCAGGACTGCAAGTTAGCCCTCCCTCTCTGCCTCCCTCCAAAGACAGCACCTTGTTTTAATAGTCTCACTCTTACAGAAAGAGTTACAAAATATATTATTTCTGCACGGGTTTTTTTCTTGTTTAAACGTCTTTTCAGTTCCAAATCTCTTTCTCTGATAAAATTATTTAAATGCCCCAGCATTACCAAAAGTATTTAGGGTAATGTGTTTACATGGATAAACAGAATAACATTTCACTTTTACTCAGCAAAACTATAAACTCTACTTTGATAAGTTTCCTTGTGCCAGAGGAAGGATCTCTGAATTTTAAAACATTCAAATGACATAAGCTAATTTTACTTGCAGACAGGTTATTACAAGAAAGCTACAATAAACTGAAGACATTACGGATAAAAAACACCAAAGATTTAAGGCTGGAGGAACTAGCTTATGAGGAAAAATGAAATATAAGGAGAGAAAGGACTTTTTATGGACAAGAAATGGTGTCCAACGGTAATATTTGAAGACTGTTATACATCAATGAGAGAAATGAATCCCTTAGAATTGCCCAAGAGAACATAGCCAAGGATATAGGCTAAAACCTTCCTCCTTTCCCCTCTCTTACCTTAAGTTTATTATCAGAGAAATCTTTCTCATGCCGCATAACCTCTTACAGGAAGTCAAATGCTTCATGCATTTTAAACAAGACGAGGGCAACTGGGACAGATCTAAAAGCTTTCTGCCCATCTCAAGCAGTGTACGAAATAAAGAGCAGCTAGATACATAGTACGCTTCGCACAAATGCAGCCCAGACATCGTATCTGTCATCTGCCCACCGAACAGTTAAGGCCAAGGTCACAATCCATATTTCAGGGCAGTGAATGACCTAGAATTAATACAGCTAACCCCGTGGTTACAATGACTGACTTCAGCCAATGCAAAAGTAGGCTGCCATCAAAAGGAGCATTCCCCTCCAATCCTGCTTCAGAGCCCTAGCACTTGTGCAGGCAGGCTACAAGTCAGATTGGTTATCTAGCCCTACTGAAAATTCATCATTGTTCTTCACGTTGTTCTTCACATTGCAAATGGTTAATTTGCAGTCAAACTAGTAAACTAAGCCCAATCATCCTCTGGACACAATCTCCAGAGCTGACACAAGGAATCAACAAAGCACACAGTCAGTGAAGGCTAGGGGCAGCAGGGCTGGAACTCCATTTGAGTGGCAGCACAGTCTTAAGAGAAGCTTACAATGAGTGAAAATGCTTAGTGAAACATCACTGAAAAAATGGAGACTGTGGTTAACACCTCAATTTCTTACCTACAATGGCAGTTTATAATAAAAGGGAAATTTATGTTGGAAAGCTTTCTTAAGTTGCAGTCCGAGTAAACTTGCATGGTTACTAAAACACACTATCATAAATCTCACTATATTCTGCTTTGGTAGCAAGGCATGCAACCTTGCTTTCCAATTGTGGGGAAAAAAAAAAAAAGACTAAGTACATTTAACACATCCCTTCCCCTGAAACAAAAGGTTGCATGCACACATCCTGAGACAAGGATGAGGGGAAAGAATGACATGTCACCAAAATTAATGATTTAATGAAGTACTGGAAGATATTAGCTACTACAGTGATGAGGGTGGAATAAATACTACAAAAGGACAGCTACAGGCTACATAAATTCCACCACATTCCTATTAGCATAGCTACTATGAAATCTAACAGCTACTGTTTCTATTTATAAAAACAGACCTCCACGGACATTGGTAGCAAAGGAGCTGAAGGAACCTTGATGCATGTGTTTTGTTACTCTTATTTTCATGAAGTTTGTGTTTACCTGAGGCAAATACAAGTGTGGGAAATTAATTACATGAGTATTAGCTAAATTGTTCCTTTGTTCCACGTCTTTTTTTACATAAATCATTCCTGACTAAAAGTGACAACAACAGTATCATTGGATTTGTGTGACTTAAGTCTCCAAATGATACGTTTTACAGCTGCTCATCTACTTATCAGAGCAGCCAAAATACGAGGGGAGGAGTAGAGCTGTTAAGCATATTTTTATTACTATTATTTTACAAAAGTAGTTTGGGCAAGAGAGGAAGTCCAGATATAAACTGGAATTACTATCTGGAATATTTTCAAAGCAATAACCCCAACCGCAAATTTGCTAGTCAGAATATTTACTCACGAGCTGACTAAATAAAACACCCAAACTGAAGGGCCAACTACTGCCTGATTTGTAAGCATTGTCTCTCTTATATAGTATGCAAGTAGGATATTTAAAATGCCAGTAAAATATAAATTTGTGAGAACAAGTCTGCTGTACAAAAAAGGTGTAGCATGTGCAACTTCCACAGTGAGCACAATAGAACTATCTCTTCCAGTGATCTTTGTCAACACAGTTTCTGGATTCTTACCAGTGAGGTTGGGCAGGGGAAAATTGCTTTGATGGGCGAGCTGCTGGTTCCACCACTGCTGGGTGGGTTGATCCTTTTCTCCTTCTGGCGCCGGTTACAGAACCATACGCGGATCACCTCCTTCTCCATGTTTAGCTGGTCAGCTATCATGGTGATCTCATCCGAGGTAGGCTTTTGGTTCTGAGAAAAGGAAACGGTACTTAAAAAGCTGTGAAATTACCTTCTGAAGTTTTACATCATAGCTGCTTCTTCATGAGGCAGAAATCTGGATGGGCCATTTATATCCAGAATCTGGTCAGTGGTACAATATCTACAGAGATAGACCATAACAGATACTTCTGCCCTCCATTTTCCTAGTTACGGGAACATTTCTACCAATAGTAAGCTGTGTTCCTCAGAGACGGGTGATGTAGACTAAGCTCACATGCTTCTTTTTGAGAGAAGGGATCTGACTTGTGAGTTAATCCTTCAAGGAATTCTAGACCTCGATAAGGAAATCTTTCTTTCAGCATCTCTCAAAAAGGAATAGGAGAGAGAAACTACATCAATAGCCAAATGAACCTCCAAGTTGTCTAGACCTATAATGAAAGACAGGTAGATTGAACGGGCCACTTACAGAGGCTATCTGCCCATACAGCTGCACAAAGTGCCTAACAAGAGTAACATAAGGCCAGCTAAAAACCTCACATTATGTATGTTTAGACTGTCACCCCATTTAGCCACCCTCAGAAAGGGTAATCTTTTTTTCTTTTTTTTTGATGTGCAGAACATCAAGCTTAGACCTACGGTTCAGTATCTTGGAATGCGAAATCACAAAGTCAGCAAACTGCAAGAACTAATCGGTTTTTTTGAGGGGATTTGTGGTTTTTTTTTTTTTTTTTAAGTGAAGTAGAAGTTGATGCGTGCTTCTTGGCACAGCCTTTGTATTCAAACACTTTCTAAAATAGCACAGTAATGGGTTCACTCCAACAGATTGTTAAGCAAAGTTTCTTCATTTCTTTATAGGCTGAGCGGAGCAAGCACTGACCTCCAGGAAACTCTTCTCTAAGGCCACACGTATGTTGGTCTCTATGCTGGTGCGTTTCTTCCTCCTACGGTTCAAACCTTCGATCCCCAGCCCTGGAGAATTCAGGGCACTTGGGCTGGAGAGAGTTGAATCAGATGAGAGGTTTTCTGAAAAAAGAAAGTAACACAAATCAGGAGATTTTATTTGACTGCAGTGCAGTCTAATGCAAGTCTTAGTCACCTGTGCAAGGTATGTTAAAACCCATTCTGTATCTATTCCAGATATATAGAGATTTCTGAAGATCATACGCATTGATCGTTGTACTTGTAAATTACAACATACACTTGAAACTTAAAAGCTACAAGTAAGCCCAGAGGGCACTCTCTGCTCCTGTATGCTACCACACTATCCCTTTTATAATACCTATACAAAGCTTGTATCTCCCTTATCTCATTCCACCCCACACTCATTCACTGCAAGTCACAGTTTAAAGAAAAAAAGCAGTAACTGCTATCCATGAGCCACAGCTGTAAGTCACAGGCAATTATGAAAAAATCTGAGCAGCCTGAAACTTCTTTTACCCACTCTGCAGTACACAAGAGGAAGAGGAAGTTCATGGCCAGCTTCACAGCATTCAACCTCTTCTCTCCCATCTTAGGAGATACTCAGTGCTATGCAATTCTACCAAACAGCCTACACAGCTAGCAGCTCCCTCTCCTTAGCTTCACTAGGTCTCTAGCTGTCAACACCTAATCCTATCTGTTTGGCTCCACAGAAGAGCAAAGAGAGAACACACTTGACCCCACTTTGTAGCAGAAAGTGCAAAATAACCAACAGGCAGGTTCCAGCAGGGAATTTAAACAAAATGATTAATTATGGCTGGAGATCCCTCACTGCACTGGGGTTTGTGGGTGATAAGCAGGTGTTCAAAGGTCACAATGCCCAAGACCATTCTGGTAGGCTCAAATGGGCAAGTACATTCAGTTATTATTTTCTAGAATTTTTTTTTTTTTCAGTAATGGCACCCATATATGTGCTGAAACCCATCTCCACCCTGAAAACACCACAGAACAAGCTGAGTTCCGTAACGAAATTCTCCAACACTGCAATGTAACGTAATGGAAAGCATCATCGGTATGCTTCTCCTGCCTGCTTTTACCTAAAAGTAGCCTTTAAAGTCACCTGAATCTTTCTTCCAAAGATTTTCATGAAACTGAATCAGAGCCAAAGATGATGGTTCACAACTTCCAGACTGTGAAGGACCCTGACACTGTTGCAGTCCTTAACTTTACAGATTCAAGTATTTCTTCAGGCTAGCAGGAAAAGCAAACTATGTCATTCCTTGCAGCACTGGATTCTTCCCGTGTTGCTGGAAGGTTTAGGGACCACTGGCCTGTAGACTAGAGCATTTAGGTGAAGATCTTTATGTTTTCTATCACAGATCTAGATTACCTAAAGATAACCCCTGTCAGTGCAACAGAATGACACTTCCTTGTTTCAATGCAGGACAAATTTTCAACACTGCATCCAATTACTTTCAAAACTTCAGAGAATGCTGTAGGCGTCAGCATAAAGCTCTCTTCATTTTGGTAAAAATAGGAAGGCACACACCGTCCCTGCCATCTGTTTAGCAGATCCATCAGTTTATACTATGTACAGTTGTACACTTGGAAGAAAAAACTGGCTGACAGCACTCAAACACTTTCTATCCTAACACCTAGCACCACCATCCAAGCTCCTTTTGCTGGTGGGGAAAAAAAGAAAACAAAAAAGGAACACTACCAACATTGGCATCATGAATAACTTATCTCCTGGGAAAAAACAATTCTGGAAGGGAAAAGCAAAACCTAACCCACAAAAAACTCTTCCTATGGGGAGAAAGAGAGTGTTTATACGGACCCTTGGAGAGAGATGAAAAGAACGCACATAGGGGTGTGGGAGGAGATGAATGCAATAAGCTCTGCCTACTGAAACAACAAACCATGCAACCCTCTCTCTACTACACATCTGAAAAAGAAAGCTAGAAGAGGATTAGAAGTTATATGCATTAACATACATAAAGGAGGAAAACCATGACACGTATTATACCTCATCCCATGCAATTATTTAGCTGGCTGCAGAACACAATTCTGAAAGTTCATATTGGAAGAATTTCAGATGCGTATGGGCACATGAAAAGGGAAGTATGGACACTTATTCCTACACCCTTGTTTGTCCCATGGACAGTTACAACGATTGGTGGCTTCATAAAACCATAAGGGCACAAACGAAGCAGTTTTGCAGGGTTTTTCAGAATCCTACTGATTTTGGTAGGCTGGTGAAGAAATACACAGACTCATTCACCTGCATCATTGAGCCACTTTTCCAGAAGCGGCTTTAACTTGCACATGTTCTTAAAGCTGAGGTTCAAGGCTTCAAAGCGAGAGATGGTAGTTTGGCTGAAGTCATTTCCATAGAGTTTGCCCATAGCGAGCCCAACATCACCCTGGACAAAGAAAGAGAAAAAATGGATTCACTAACATAGGCACTTCCAAAGCAAGGAATCCTGTCACAGTCTTGTGTTTTCTTAGTGACTCCACTGCTGCGTGGGATTTCAGTTTCACAGAAACTTGCTTGGCTCTACTAAGATTCACACTAAAGCAAATAAAGAAATGTCAAACCTCAGTCAGTTTAACCATGTAACTCTTTCCAGGAAATCCCTGATGCTTTGTCTTCTTTGCATTATCACTGAGCAGAACATTCACTGAATATTAACTTGCGATTTTTTTCTTATTCTTTAAAATAAGTAAAGGCCAAGCTCTCTTTAGGAGCAGATTTAAGTATCTGCATATTTCACACCGAAGAAGAAAAAGTTCAAATAAGCAGAAATGCAGTGAATTCATGTTCTCAAATTAGTAGAAAAACACTCTTGAAAAGATGTCTACAAACATGTATCACATTTAAATAGATGCAAAAATATTCTTATCTGAACTTTCAATATCTTCTGAGGTTCAAACCAAACTTCTCCCCACAGATACACATTTCAAAGCGGACAAGAAGTTGAACCATTTCAAATAATAAACAACTGTAGTCTTCACTACCATTACCCATCTGCCAAAAAGCTATCCATAAGATTTACAGACAGATGATCATCTCTTTACATCTGTTACTGCTTTTCAAAACTGAGTTTTAGCTAGCTATCAGACATTTTGCTTATCCTAATATCTATATATACACATCTCTATGTAGTATACACTTGGAAAGTCTTGTTTAAATAATAATAAAAAAATCAATCCATTCTTTATTGTGGCCATTAAAGACACCATAATGTTTTCTTGTTTTGTTTTAAAGCTGGAAGTCCTGCCCTTTGAAAAACTGTAATTATTTTTTAAGTATGCTGTTTGGTCTAAAGTAGTTTAATTTAGACTTTTGTTTTTTAACACAAAAAAGAATGAAAAGTCTAGAAGAAGAGACTGAAAAGCTTGAGCATAGTTAGTGGAGTTTAATTGCGAGTGGGTTAGTTGGATTGTGTGTAAAGCTTGCTTTCTTTCCTTTTAGGTCAGATCCACAACCACAGCTTGACACAAGTATACTAATAGCATGCAGAGTGGCCACATCCAAGTGAGGAAGAAAACAACCTCTGGTAAGCTTAGAAATTGTGCAGGTTGTGTAAAGAAAACAATTTCCTTCCTAGAAGAGGACCAGAACAATTGGTCTGTACGCCCTTCAATCAGAGGAAACATGTGGGAACTCACATTTATAACTTTACCCATACGCCAGGATTCCGTGCATTTTAAAACTCATAAATCATTCCAAGAGAAGTAACATGGATGCTCTAGTGGGTTTATGAAGACGAAAACCTGGCTATGTAAACCATTTTAGAGGTAAGTTGATTTATGTCTTGGCAGGAAAGAGTTATGAAATTTGCCCCAGTCCCCCGACTAAATTTAATTCTGGTATTTACGTTGTTCTTACTAACATTTGCCATCTGATTTAAAATGAATAGTTAACCATTTCTTTGTCAATAGTTTTCAATGCCAAAAGGTGGCAGCATTTCAGCTGTAGGCAAAGGAATTTACATATTGGGATGAGAATTTTATAGATTGGGATGGGCCGCTGAAAGGATGGATGGAACAGAGGATAAAGGTACTGTACGTATCTGATCTACTTTGTAGGTTGAATGAAGCTCCGGTACTGAACTGAAACTGACTCTAAAGTACATCACTGTTGTGTGTACTGGTCTGTTAAGAAGCTCAAACGGTCTAGCAGAGGTAATACCTTTTACAGAATAAAAATAACATTGTCCAAAATGTTCGCTCACATAGCTTGAATCTGTACCGACCAATCAGTCCCATACCTGCAATAATGCTAAGATACAGTATGCTCATTGTGCCTCTGTATGTCAAACATGGAGATCTTTTTAAGGAAAACAGTTAAACGAAAGGATTTAAATCCATCACCCACTTTTCGAGGTGGGAGAAGAGACAGAACTGCTGAAGTTCAAAACCTGTTATATTGCTCACAAGACAGAATGTAGTGATTAGTTTGCAATTCAAACTAAATCTTTCAATTATTTTTGAAAGGCAGGGGTGGCGAGTCTGAAAAAGCTTACAGTACCACTGGAAAGAAATTTCTTTTGTCCTCTGAAAGGCAGTCTATTTATCCAACTATAGGAAACCAAAGTAATAGGGGTCTCTAATTATCATCCAATTATGCAATGAGGTAGAAGTTATGAGAACTGCCTAATTATACACATACAAACTAAGACTAGGATAGGAACGATCAAATGCAATTTTATCACTTTCCCAAGATTCCCCTTTTTTAAGCTCAAAAGCAAATACTGAAATGTAAGCCTAAGCAGTTGTGTTCATTTTTCCTCACTGTGAAAATTCACAACAGGGTCAATAAAGAAGGGTTAACCCATAACTTAAAAAGTCTAGTTGAGCCTTTATAATCATCTCACAGCAGGACAGATTAAACATAATAACTAAAGATCTACATGAACCTCCTCAGTCAGGCTATAGGGAAGCTATTGTATTGTACTCTGTTCTGTTCTGCTCTATTCTAGCTTTTGTGTGTGTCCATCACTTGTATTTCTGTGCCTCCCTCTAGTGGAAAGAAGGGAGGGAAGGAGGCACGCATGCCAGCAAAATGCACTGCATTTTACTAAGAACATTCTGTTCTTGAGTTACAATTAAGATGCTGCCAGGAGCTTTCATTATGAACCCTGATTTTTCAAACATTTAGGACTTTGCCAGAAAAATAAATCTGACTTCAGCACATACTTTCAGCTAGAGTAGATTTACTTATTCTGGGCAGGGGGAACAAATCACATATGTTGGATTGACTGCTCTGAGCTCAGACTTTTAAATACCTACTTTGATTTTTGTGTGCTATTTCTTCTAGCAAAAACACGCCTATGCTTGCCACAGACTCCTGCCAAAATTAATTGTTTACCTGGACAGATATTTTAATTGGGGGGGGGGATCATTTTGATATTAATAAGAAAGGACTCTTGGATCCAAGCAGCATTCCCCTTCAACAGAATAACAGAACATATAAATGCATTTCGTACTTTTAATTGTAATCCTCATTCAACCATTTTCACTATGTTCAAGATTACTTTTCTTCTGCTCTATGGGTATTTCAGAGCTTTTAAGCAAACCAAAACAAACCACAGCTCCAGTTCACCTCTGTAAGAAGAGAACTTCAAAGTGACAGTCCTTTCAGGTTTTGTTTAGGAACCTTAGCAAAAGCATTAAATACAGAAATCATTGATGTTTAATAGGAAAATATGCTTGAGAGATAAAACCCCTTTGACATCCAAAGCAAGTCCACAGTTGTGACGTACTTTTTAAACACACAGAGCAATTAATTGTGCTCTATGATTTTTGGAACTTTGTACTTCTAAAGGTAGCTTTAAAGTGCTTTGTCCCATTCATTTTACATCCTACAGAATGAATAGTGCACACGCAATGACATCTGGAGCTGGTAAATGCACGTACCTGCTGGGAAAATGGCTATGCTTTAAAACCAACAGGGAAGTAAGATGGATGTATGGCTTTTTCTGTTACTTCTTAGAAATCCCCTACATAAAGGCCAGAGCATAACCCTATTTAAGAAGGTTCTCCTAAGGAAAAGGTGGAATTGTAGTCTCCCTCCAGACTTGAAAGATGAGACCTCAGATTCCACACTGGCAGGCACTAAGGTACGCAGTCTCACCTGAGTGAATCCAAGTTTGATCCGTCTTTGTTTGAAAGTCTTGGCAAACTGCTCAAGCTCCTCAAGGTCACTGGGCTCCTCCAAGCTGGGAGTGTCGATTCGCTTTGGTGTTGACTGGCTCTGTGGAAGTGGCTGAATGGGGGTCGCTGCTATTGTGCGTGTTGGGGTTGCTGGCTATTAAGATAGAGAGCAAGGAAAAGATGAAGATCAGACTTAAAAGAATAATCAGCAAAAATTAAATTCAGAAAAGGTATGTGAGGTTTCTTTGAGAGAGACCAATGAATTTGACATTTCCACCAATCTGAAAGTTCCTCCAATTTATTTACATTCCTCTCAAGAACGAGCAATCACAATCCAGAAAACTCGATTAGTATGACAGCCTTTTAAAGGCTCTGTCAGAACCAATTAAAGAAAAGTAAGAGATGTTCAATGCAGCAGATAACCAACAACTTTCACTTGCTACAGAAGCTGCTCAAAGAAAGGCTGAACACCTTTACTTGATATAGTTCTATCATTTATAGACAGCTTGGCATTCATCCCCTTTTAATCATTTTTAAATTGAATTTACTGCTTGTATGAGGTGGCAGATTGTCATCAGCCCAAAAGATTCAAGTCTCCTATTTAATCTTGGAACAGTGAGCACATACAGGCCTGGCAAACATGGCAAGTTTCCTCTAATGCCATCTCTTGTGACTAACTCAACTCTTCCAGTAAGAAAAAAATAGATCCCCCTCTAACCCCTCTGTTGGTACTTGCAACAGTAAGAATTAATGTACTGGTGATACGAGAAATTAAGCAAAGGCAATCTACAGAAAATAATTCCTTTTAAGTCACACTTTTCTTCTATATAAAAGGCTAATTTTCCAGGAAGTCCACACAAGATTCACTATTCCTGAACGCTGGCATACTAGAGCATTTTGCTATACAGCAATAATAAGAATCTGAAAAAACCTGAGCATCATGGAAAATACTCACAGGTGAACAAAATACATTAAGATCTGGTATTGCACAGTTCAGGCTTTATGTGCAACAGGAACACTGGAAACATGTTTTGAGTGCATAACTCCACCTTCTTACATGCCATAGATGAACTGAGATGCAGAGACAAATAATTTACTCTAGTTAAATTCTATTCAGTTCAGCGGAGGCTCTTAAGGAAAGGTGACTTCATGCTTTTATATCCTATACCCAGTTCTGAAACTACGGACTCCTTCAGGACAAGTAAGAACAGCCTCAAGTCCATGCAACACTACAGTACTATGCAAAGTCTACGCAAAGGTCCAGAAATGACTGTTCTAAAAGAAATGGCCTACATATAGCTGAGTCTTTACATAGCTCCTTATGTTGTTTTTCTCCTCAGTTAGTGCAGTATTTTGCAGTGCACAGCAGATGGTAGAGGGCGGTCAGGATCTATAATTCCATTACTTGAGAAATAATGTGATCATATATGATCTTTCTAGGATTGCAGATATATGTGTCACACTATGAAGGTTTTTAATTTACATTAAGCATAGCGAGTAATTACTGCAATATGTCTTTACTGACTTTACCCCTTTATATAATTTATTTTCTCTTTGTAGTTTTGATACTTTTTTTTAATCCAAGTTTAATCTTTAGTAGGGAGTCATGCTGCTAACTGAGGTACGAACTACAGAGGTAAGACACATTCCATTTTCCACATGGTGCATGAAAAATACTACAGGTGGTATAATAGAAAATGTAGTTTTCTATGACTCTCATAGACTCGGGCATCTTATTACAGACTAAAAAATTCTTATATGTAACCAAGTTGGCAGGAAGATACCGTATGTATTACGTGGTATTTGAGAAACAGCATGCAGTCATGTAACTAAACTGCACAGTAAAATCCAGAGTGAAGCAAAATTAAATTTGCAGGCACGTGCAACCTTAAAATTGCTTTTCTTAGTCTGAAAGCTTAATCACAGAGTTTTAATATTTTAACATATATCTAACAGAATATTTTAATGCATTTCTAACAATGTCTTCACTTTCACAGAAGGTAACTAATAAGACTGGCAATGACTTAGCAATAATAGCAAAACATAGGCTACAATAAAGATAGATTACCACTGCAATCTTGAGAAAAAAAGATACTTGTCAGTAATCCTCTTTTTGAGCTTTTTAGGTAGCCCACACCTTGCTCCTCTGAATTTCACAGATTTGTAGATTGTCCAAGAAAGCCTTACAAAAAATCAAATTATGCTCTAGTGCCATTAACTCAAGATATCAATCATGGAAACATTCAGCTAAAAAAAAAATTTAGAACATTAAATGCATGAAAAGAGGCACATTAGGGTGGAAACTACAAAACTGAAGTTACTGATACTTCAGCTCTACACTGAACCTATCTAGAAAGACAAACTATTATAGCTACAGCATCTACTCCGGTAACTAATACAAAGAGTCCATTCACTTGCAATAGTTTAAATCCCCTCAAAGCAACTCATGAACTGTAGAAATAAGCCTGACCTGCGAGGCAAGGGTGATGCTTGGCTGAGACTGCAGGAGGTTGGCTTGGCTTTGCTGAGGTAGTTGCGTTAAGAGATTCTGCGCTTGCAGGAGACCTGGAAAGAGAAAAGGGTGGGTTTGGTTTGTCATTTAAAAAGACTAAAACATGAAATGAAGTGAAACAAGGCTCTTGCCACATAAATTTGAGATGCACGCCTTCATTTCATCCCTGCATAGATATCTTCAGACTTCGGACTTTCCAGTCCAAAATCCCCTTGCATTTTCCTGAAGTATATGTGGTGACAGAAGGGTAAAAGAGAGAAGTCTGTACTAGTCTCTGCAGAAAGAGTTTGTAATGATCTACGCTATCCCAGTTCTGTGTGCAGGAATAATTTATTGCCCCTTTCAGCTTGCAGATTTTGGGTAAACCTCTTCCTGTAACTAACAGCTGACCAAGAATTAGGGAGCCATATAAAAATCAACAACTGAACACTAATCAGATCAAATCCAACAACTGAATACTAATCAAACCCACAAATTTGGCTCCTTGATCACCCTTCTTCCTCTCCGTATCACCCCATACCAGCTGCCTAACAAGAAGGCAACTTTCTCTGGCAAACTTAAGCAGACCACACCAGAAGAGAAAACAAGCCCGGATAACCTCCTCCTGGCTGAAATAAAGAAGGAAAAGTAATGAGAACTTAAAGCTTAGGTAAGATACCGAACGCTGCTTAAATTGCACAAATAGAATAAACAGTACACTGAATATATGAAAACCCCTGCTATTATGAAAAGGTGGTAACGTTAAAGAACACTTGGGACTGATGCAACAAATATACGCAATGTACTGTCATTCTAAAAATAAATTCCCTTACAGTCCACTATTTGTATGGTTTATTAAATCTCTCATGAAATTGAGATATATGCTTGCATCTATTTATTTTAACTAGAAGCTATCTGATTTTTTTTTTTTTTGCATTTCTAATACTAAAATTTATATATTTTTAAGGGGTAAGGATCTTGACAAAAATATACCTACAGCTAGTCAAGTCCCTCAATTTTATTGTGAAAAATATTACTGTTATTCTTTAGGTAACTCCTGACTATGATTATCAGTTTCCCCTATAATAATTTAAAAACCTAACTAATTAAACTTACACTTAATAGGCATCTTCAGTATACCAAGTTCCTAAAACCAGGGGGAATGATGACACGAGAACAACAGATAGACACTATGGCCACTCAGAGGACAGAACACCAAGTAAGTACCACTTAAATTCTGTAATTTTAGTTTGACGTGGTCTGTTCTAGCTCATCAGCTGGCCGATCAGTCAGAGCGCACCACTCATGACCAGCTACCTCTTAGCAGAATACAGGTAAGGGACACAGGAATTTAGGACTATATAAATACTGAGTGAGAAACTGGATGTTTTATGCGAGGTTAAGGCCATAGGAGACATGAAAAGAGGGACTACCATGGGTAGGAAGGAGAAAATGGATCCTCAATGAGGGATACATAACTACAGAAGAATTGTCTTCTGACAGTGATATTACTGTTACTTTTTTTTTTTTAACAGTGTGGAATATGTATTTTAAATAGAATGTGTTGCTATCAAAATGCTCAAGACCCACAGAATAAAGCCAGCTGCTTATGCAACATAATAGCACAGCATAGACAACTATGTAAATTTGCTTTGCACCACATAATCAACATGTTCCAGCTGTGTTTTTGAAAAGCCACAGCGAGGGAACGGATCAGCTTAAGGAACTTCCAAGACAGCTACCTACTACAGTTACACAGTGCTTTTTACAATGCAAATATTTGTTCACTTGAAAGATGATTTCAGCTGCCCAAATTTAAATATTAATTAGTGAACAGTCACCTCTAAGTGAAGAGGTTTTGACCTTCATTTAGTGACAGTAAATTTTAACTGACAACTTGAAATAGAAAGGGGCAAGCCATCATACTAACACTAGAGAGCGGCTGACCAACAATGAAACAAAAAATAGGCAGCTGACAGTGACAACATTTGACCTCTAGTCCACTGGTAACACCATCGATCACAAGTTACTGACTCATCTTCTGACTGTAATCAGAACAATTAGGACTCTCCTTTCATGATTTTTTTTGTCCTCAAAGAAATCCCAGAGGATGTTTTTCTAGCAATAACACTTTTGCTGATAGCACAAGATGACTGCACTCTTCCTCACTTTATTCTCACTCATATGTTCTGAAGTAATTATCACCACTGAAGGACAGTATAAAATATTCTGAACATGTTTAATCTACTCAGTTTTTACAATTTATCCTATTTAAGAAATACTGATACAAGGTGTCTCAGGCAGAAACTGGAGAAAGAACAAGTTAGTTCAACCTGCAGCTGACTGAAGTAATGATCAGGGGGTGGGGAAAACAGCTGAACTGTTTTGGCAAAGTACGCATCTCTTCCACTGACTTAGTCTTTTTAGATAGTTGCTGTGCACACACTTTGGACTCTTGTTGGCTTCCATGGGTGGGGAGCTGCAGTTTTGCTCTTTTCAGACATGACTTGTGCTAGTCTAAGCTTCACCTTTGTTTTTTTTCTGAGAAGAAACTACCGGTCCCCACTTGGGTCCAAGATAACTTCAGTGACTTAACTTATAGGGCACATAGCACAGCCTTTTAAATACAACGTAAGTCCAAAACTGCACCTTTTAGGCAACTACTGAGATACTGGTGTTTCAATCTTTGCTGTTTCCTTAGGGACTCATACTGGCATCAATACGATTTAACATCTTTATTACAATAAGGCTGATGGGACAAAATATATTCTCAGCAAGTTTGCGGACAATACCAAATATGGGGAGAGTGGTCAATAGGCCAGAAGTCAGGGTCTAGACAGGCTGGACAAATGGAACCTCATGAAGATCGATGCAGGAAAATGCAATGTCCTGTATGGGGACTGGAATAACCCTGTGCAGCAATACAGGGTGGGCACTGGCTGGCTAGAAAGCAGTTTCGCAGAAAAAAGACCTGGGGGTCCTGGAGGACAATAAGATGAACGTGAGCCAGCAAGTGTGCCCTTAAAATAAAGACAGCCAACCACATCCGGGGCTGTATTCGCAAGAGTGCAGCCAGCAGGTCAAGGCTTTTGATTCTTCCCCTCCATTTGGCATTTGTGAGACCATATCTGGAGTAAGTCTCACCCAGCGTGGCTAACGGGCTGGAACACCCATATGAGGAATGGGTGAGTTGGTTTGTTCAGCCTTATGAGAAGACTAAGGTGAGATCCTGTTGCTGTCTTCAAAGACAGAAATGGACTCTTCTTGACGGTGCACAGCAATGAGATGCAACAGACATAAGTTGGAACATGGAAAACTCCAACTAGATATAAGGAAACAATTTTTTTTTTTTTCTTTTTTTACCATGAAAAAAATCAACATCCCTGGAGATGTTCAAACTCAACTGGCCAAGGCACTGAGCACTCTGCTGTAATTGGACCTGCTTTGAGCAATACTACATGACCTCTAGAGGTCCCTTCCAACCTACAAGATTTTTTGAATCTATAAAAAACTAATATTGTACTTGTATACTTAACTTTACAGAGGTAGTATTTCTAGCCCTCTGCTTTGGGTTCTAAGAACCCAGTGGTATTATGGCATTAAATAGGGCATACAAACCACCTATGTGACACTCCAAAAGAATGACTGCATGGAGGTAGATACGGATTTATGCAAAAGTATGATGCTTTAGAGATATTTAATTTTTTTTTTTTAAATAGTTTAAGTAAATGCATCTAATTAGTTGCTAATTAGTAGCTTGTCTTCCACATTTGCCTTTCTGGATACTTTCTTCATAAGTACTGTTTCTAAACCTCCTTGACAATGATGCAGTCTTTTCTCAGATCTTAACAACTTCTGTTTGCAAGATGAATTTAAATGAAATGCAGCACCATTTCCCCTCTCCATTCAGATTTTTACCGATACGATTTTTATTGGCAATATCTTCCAAGTAGAAAGGCAAACGGTCACCTGATGAGGGTAATATTTTTAAGCAGCAGCTATAATTGCAGTAAAGGATGTTGAATTGATTATTCTAGAGACAGATCTATTAGATACAAGAACAGATACAAGAGGTATAAAGACTGTACAAGGTGCTAAATTCCTGCCTGTGGCTTCAACAATAATATGGGGACAATAATTGCTCTGAATAAGAAATTGTTCCAAATTTCTATTTCCATTCAATCTTCTGCATATGGCCTCAAGTTGCGCCAGGGGAGGTTTAGATTGGATGTGAGGAAAAATTTCTTTACTGAAAGAGTGGTTAAACATTGGAACAGGCTGCCCAGGGAAGTGGTTGAGTCACCGTCCCTGGAAGTATTTAAAAGACGTGTAGATGAGGCGCTTAGGGACATGGTGGTGTTGGGCTGACGGTTGGACTCGATCTTAGAGGTCTTTTCCAACCTTAATGATTCTATGATTCTATATCTGCTGAGGCTTGAAACAATTCCTTCAGTTATGATGTTACCTATTACACACCATGAAAAACAGGAACTTCACGATTTGTTTCACGTAAGCCACTGAATAACCACAAATCATGTGGAAAAGGAAGATGATTACGTTAGACATATGGCAGTGGATTTTTGGGGAGAATTTCACATCTGCTGCTGTGATTTATAATGTGTGTTGAAGAAACATAGCAGAATAACATCCTGATTGTTGATGAATATTTTAGGTATTGACTTCTCTAAAATTTTTCAGAAGTTGGATCTAAGCCATGATGTTCAACCTCTTCCAAGAATCTAAATATGATTGCTGATGATTGCATTACTCTGCACCCTATCACCTCTTCAGGTAAAAGCTTTTCTCTACCAAATGTTTACGTCTTCTATGATCTTGCTTAGAGATACTATTCTTCACTTATTTCCCTCAAAACTATTCTCTTGTATTAAAAATGTTTCTCATTTACATGACTACATGGCATGTACAAAATATGTAGTGCAGTCTGTAAAGGAATAGATTTCCTCCAAAACAGATAATCTATAAATAAATCTGAATTTTCATTTTAGTTATTAAATACATACACACACACACACACACAAAGCTGCATGCAGTACCAATGAGGCATCCAAAAAAATCTGAATGCCGTTGGTTTTAAAGAAAGCTCTATGCTAGTTTCTTCAGAATGTTTATTATTTCATGAAGTTGACTAATGGAGCAATAGGACAAGAACAACATGGAAAAGTCAGCTGCAACAGCAAATAACAAAATAAAAATACACACTTTCTCAATCTTTCTCATAAATAATAACATACTGTTTGAGATCTTCTAACAATAACCATGAAATACTGCAAATAGCCACACCAAAAAGTGAGATAAGGGGTATTATGACATACATGTTGCTTTATCATTGAGTGCTCACAAAGAAAGTTAGATCCATTCAAGCATTTCAGTTTGGAAGGTTGTCACACACTAATGGCCTATGGTCAGAATACAGAATATAAATCTTCCTACATTTTTGAGCTATTCAGTTGTCCAGGCTGCACATTACCAGTAAAACATGGTGTTTCTACACACACTGCGTCACTGATGACAGCAATATGCAGGTCTTACATTGCAGTGAAGAAATCATTTTCACAGATGGCCCCTGGAAAAGGTACTATGAAAACCTCTTCTGGTAGTTATTCTACTTCAGAAGATTTTAAACAAACAAACAAAAAGCCTTACTTCCTTTCTATAATGCAAACAATTAATTTTGAGAGATGAATATGATTTGCTTGTTAGTTTCCTTTTTTGTGAAGCATCTTCAGAGATATTTTAGAAAACCAGCAGAAGTTAACTGAAAAACGTAGGCAGACATTAATACCAGTGAGTTTTTCAAAACAATGCTTTTGTGCTTGCTGTTTCCTTAAAAGAATTTAACAACAACAACAACAACAACGCAGCCTATTAAAAAGAATCCTTAAATTAAATTTTGGTGACGTTTGATTTCTTCTAGAAGAACATGTTAAACTTATAAGCTCTGCTTCATTTTAAGAAACTAGTACATCACTAAATGCCTCCATGAATAGTCTTTTAGTAATTTTCTACCAGCACTGGTACAAAAGCTGTCCTAAATCAAGTCCTAGTAAAAGAAAGGTAATTTTGACTAACCCTTTATTCAAATGTGAGAGCATTCAGACAGCGAGAGAGCTTCAGCATAATGGAAAGCCAGTTCTACCCAACTCATAGTATATAAGAAGAAATGATGCATGAAAAAATTGAAAAGAACAGAAGAAAATGTGGTGCAAAGAGCCGCTTTATAGGACAGCCAGGCTCTGGAGGACTCTTCAAGCATAACAGGATTTGCCTTCTGAGCAAGAATCTTTGGATTACCAGACCTGAACAACTGAGTAGAGTTCATGTAGAAGAGAAAGGGGGTAAAAAGACCATTGGAGTATATCAGCATAAGAGGCCATGGCTAAATGCAGTTTTCTGTGGGCATCAAACAGGGTGCAATCAGTACTCTGATGTATTGCAACCTGAACATATCAGTTCTTAGAGCAAAGTTCCTGTGCAACATCTTAAGTGGTCTGGCACACTACCACCTACCACTGCCTTGGTCTGCCTTTAGCATGTAAGCCATACCCAGTGTACTGCCAAAATATTATTTCCGAGAGTTGTTATACAAAATCAATCTAGCTCTTTTCCCAAGGTGTAATTATTTCAGTTTATGACAAAATTCATTGTACCCTCTTTAGGCTTAAGGACTTTTCTAGTCTCCCACAGGGACTCTGGATTTTGTCATCTTTTTCCAGTCTTAGAATTTTGTAGCCCTTTTAGCATTGACCTAATCCAGACAGCCCAGACACCCTCCAGGCCTCCACCTCTTAGGATTCTGCCTTTGAGATCTGGAGAGTTGTCTTCTCCAAGTTCTCTTCCCAGTAGGCTTCCTTCTTGAGAGCCTGACCCAGAAATTCACATGCTGCAGTATTTCCCAAGAGGCCTTGTTGTTAACCAATTTTCCCATGACATAATCTCTGCATTGATCCTCCTTGAGAAGCGAGCTACACAAACTTTGACAAAGCTGAGGTCTAACACCCAGAAAGGGACAACCTGTTAGAGTCTCCTAATTGCAATACTGTTATTTCTCCTAGGGAATATCGACAGTTAGCGAAGGTGTACGAACCACCTCAGTTTCACCTTCTCCTCTAAAAAGCTATGTATGATTTTCTTTTCTGGCAAGGAGCACTTACCCTGCTGCCCCTGCGGTGTTTGTGAGATGATGAACTGTGCTGGCTGCAAGTTGGTTGTTGGATGCACCAACACAAACTGTTGCAGGTTGAGATTCTGCTGCTGAAGCTGCTGCAAGTGCTGCAAATCCTTAAGGAAACAGGGGAAGGGGAAAAAAAAAAAAAAAAATAAAAAAGAAAAAAAAAAAGAAAAAGGAAAAGAAAGAGCTGTGTGTTAGACATTTAAGGCAGCCATGACTCCCAACGTAACTAGATTTCCTATCAACCAGCTACATTCTAACATTTAGAGATAAAAGTGGATGTCAAACACAGCAGTCCTACTACTGAATATCCTTTAGGCTGACAATTTGAATTTCACTGTCCTTCATAAAACCAAACAAAAATTGTTTACCAAATAACCCAGTAAAATATTTCCAGCAGTGTTCTGCTTTTAAAAAAAAGGGGAAAAAAAAAAAAATCAATCTCCCTCCCCGCCAAGTGCAGAAGTTTTCAAATACTTTAGACTTATCAGCACCTGGATTTCAGTCTTATTTTTTGAGGATGCAACTCTGCTACAAAACTCATTGTTGACAAATCAAGCATATTAGCTGGGAGCTATTTTTGTTTATAACAACAATCTGCAATTACCATTCTAATCAGCAACAGGAAAGCAAAAAATTACAGATTCCTAGTTTGCACTCTGGTCGTTCAGGTCAAATTTCAGGAAATAGCTAACTCAAATAGTAGGTAAATGTATTTGATTAGTTCTGAAACAAATTACAATAAGCTTAATAGACATGGCTATAATTAAGGTTAAAAGGAATAATCCAAACCGCTGCACTATTGTAGAACCCTACTTTTATGTATTTAAACCATTGAGAACTATTAATTTTCTATAATTAAATGACTGGTCTCAATGTAAATGCTGATCTCTGAGAAACTGAATCATCAAGAAAAATGCTTCAACTTGCTGTCTAGCTGGAGAATGAAAACAGAGAACTGCTTAAAAATATTCCCCCCAAACTAGCCTTTTTCTTTTCATCTTCTTCAAACAGGACAATAACAGGAGTAACTGAAATTTGAAAACTGAAGCATAATGTGAAGCCAGCCAACATAACAGAGGTAATCTATGAAAACTATCTATACATGTTTAGAATCTTTCCATCTTTCTGAGAAGCAGCTGTTTCAAAATACCCGCCAAGCAGGAGGATAAAAGCCTGAAATATTTCCCACACTTAGAACCTCCCATTAAACAAACCAAACCAAGCAAACAAAAAAACCTCTCAAAACTCTATTTCAGATAAGTTACTCAGATACCAGGGTACCTGTTTGCAGACAGATACCCTCTTCTGGGTCCTACTGTGTCAGATGTTAACGATGCCAGTTCGCTGCTCGTTTTAACATACTTCCTAACATACTTGAGTTAAAGTGAGCCAGACTAACAAAGACGTGCTTCTTAAGGCCAGTAAAGTAGCCGCCACGCATTTTGACTGAGGCAGGTTACTGAGCACTCACACAAGCTGCTCAGCCAGCAGATGTGAAAGGCCATTAACTGCCAGCAATGGAGATGGTGATGGAAAGCCAAGACAGACTGACAAGGATAACTTTTTATTTACACAATACAACCCTTTGCAGAATATAGTTATCTGTCCATGACCTTATATTATTTTAAAACTGTTAAACTAAGACTTAAAAGTTGCAACAATCTCCTTCTGGGAAAGAGGGGTGGGGACTGTCAGTGGGTGGAAAGAAAGACTAGGGAGGAAAAAAAAAAATAGAGAGTCCATTGATTTATGAAACCATAGACGTGCATCATAAGAAAACGACTACTTAACCTGCATTACAAAGACACTGGCCGTCAATCACTTAGGCAACTTGGTCATGTTAAGTCAAAAGCATGCAGTGTAATAATATGGTAGACAGACACCAGATGGATTGACCAAGCAATGCTCTTTAAGAAATGGAAACTTCCATTTTATGAGAATGGTAACATTTTAAAAAGTGCCCCCCAGCGCAACAGAGTGTTTTTAAATTTGGTAGTATTGTTTGCTTTCAGAAAATTTGAGAAGTACTGCAACCACTCCTACAAAATTGAGCCAAATTTCCTTCCTAAAAAGAGAGAGAGATAACTGCTCCAGTTTTTCCCAGGAATTCCATGTTTCTTCTGACTTCATATCATAAAGTTACACTGGTCAGAACTGCTACTAAAAACTCTTACTTCTTGAGCCCAACGCAACATGGATCTCCACTCATTTATTCATTGATTTTCAATGCTCTACTGGTTACCTTTGCAGATTGAGCAGAGCCTCCAGCACAGAGGGGCTCATACTGAATTGGACGCGAGGACTAGATGCAGAGGAAGAAACAGAAATAGAAAGAGTAGGGCAAGCTGACTACGGCTGTGAACGCTGGATGGAAGAAAAAGAAATGAAGAGAGGCTGAAGGATGAAAATAGAGGTGGATAAGAGAAAAAGTAGTAAAACAAAAGGAAGAGTTGGGAAGAAATGTTGGAAGGAAAAAGTATGAACAGAAAAACAGATAGGTTGAAGACCTCCCCCACCAAAAGCAAACGAGTGAAACCCCTCCAGATGACCAAGCAGATCTCAGATGATTTGAAGAAGCACCACAGGAGATGGAGTTACATACAAGAAAGAATACAAAGAAACAGTGGCAGTGTATTTGTAAGATCAAAGGAGGAGAGCTTTTTGTTTAAGACTATAGTATTCATAACACAGGATACCCAGCTAAGACATGACAACTCTTGTTATCAGGCTCTTACTCTTCAGTATGAGAAAACTGTTTTTAAATTGAGGCCTTGGGGATAACTGGTATAAGCAATCTTATTCTGTGCATCTGCCTTGGTAAACGGTATCTTGGCTGAGTCTTGTTTAAATACAGAACTATAATTCTGTAATGCAGAATGGAAACGATACCTCCAAGGCTAATCACTCTTAAATAGCCCTACCAGCCCCTCAAATTCATTTGAAATCCAACTTTATTTCTACCTTGGGAAAGTTTTATTATTTAGTTAATTGTAGCATTACAATAATCTCCCAATAGCAACCATGCAAATAACCCCAAAACTATTTTCCTGTACTGATATTTTTTTTTCTCAATGGTAAAATCTGTATGCTAGCACAAGCACATAGGAAGAGATGGGAAGACTTTTGGGGAAACATGCATGTCTTCTGGTGCTGCCCAACAATTTAGAAAGATCAAAACAATCCAAATCCTACCTCGACAGAATAATCTGCCAAGTGCTACGTCTTGACGTGAGGGAGTTTTTTGTTTCTAAATAAAAATAATCTCAAGTTCTAAATTCAATGCCATTATCTCCAGTTACAGCTTCAGTACAAACTTAAGCATCTCCATCACTTTGAGGTTTACATCATCTAAACACTGATTATGGATCCTGAAAACAAGTAAAGTTTACAAAGAACTCCAAAACTTGGTACAACTGTTTAGTGACAATTTAGCATCAGCCCAGCAGCACCACTAACATCTCACCAGACTGCTGCAGCAAGACACCTTACATCAACTGCAGTGCACATTAAAGAAGTCATGCTTGTGCAATTAGTTAATTAAAATAAATATGGTAATCCCCCTGCTGCAGAGACCTGCCAGTTAATCAATTATTCAAAAATCATCAATTAAAACAAACATTCAACTATATGTGTAATCAGCTATATGTTTACAATAGCAACACAAACAAAGCTGAGCACCGCTTATAAATAGTTGTCAAGATGGATCAAAAAGCATGGTGTTATCCACCTACAAACCTAGACAGTGAAAGTTTTCCATAAAGTATCTCAAATTATATCCAACACCTGCACAAATTATGCCCTGCACTTTCATCATAAGAAGAAGCTAACAAGATTCAACCAAGCTACATTTATATATCAAAATAACCTATCCTAAAAGAAATTAATTGTAAAGTCAAACATTTAAGTAATTAGAAATGCCAGAAAACAAGTGAAACTTTAATTTGTTCCCCTTGTGCTACAAATACACATCATAATGGTGGCAACTACATGATCACATGCTATTTTCCATAGAGCCTTTAGCTCATTCACATGCACAAACCAGACAATGCTCACTTCAGAAGCTCCTATTTGACGGCACATGCCTGATCTTTTCAACTCTTCTCAAACACTTCTCTGAAGATTTTTAAAGTTCTGGAGAAAAACCCAGTACTAAATTAATAATTGTAAAAGCTTCACACATTTTCATAGCTTCCCACTGAAGTGGAAAAGCAGGATTAACAACATCTCACACATGCACAACAATGCCTTCAAAAGTATCCACTAATTTGGTGGCATATTTGACAAATGTAAAGCCAGAAAGTTCAAGGTACAGATTTTATTAATATGAAATTTTAATGCTCCGCACTTCAGTAAAGCAGACCTCGCTATCTTAAGCTGCACACCTGGAAGACAAGAGGCACACACCTGTGGATCACTTATATTTAGGTTAAAAGACTTGCATAATGTCAAATGGGAACTCTGTGACAGATGCATGGAGAAATGTTAGAAGCTAACCATCAACTTCCTTGACAAGGGCATTTCCCATTCTTTTCTTGGAATCTGTCTGCATTATTGGCTACAGACAAAGGCTTAACAAAATTAAGAGATGGTCTTGGGAGTTACAAGTTTCCTTGAACACTATGTCCTGGAGTCATCTCCAGATCATGAAGTGGGATCCTTTGCTAAAAGAAGTATTAATATCTGGTCACATGACTCGTCACAGTGCATCAAGAGGCTCAGTGTGAGGGGTCTGTGGGCAACGTCAGTACTGGCCTTTTAAATATGGGATGGCATCACTGGCCTCTGTAAGGACAGCCAGAGAGGTCAGAACTTTTAGACCAACACCACAGAAGTTTGCCACTTCAGCTAACAAAAAACTGATAGCACAACCAGGCCGTTATTCAGCTATTGGGCTAGCACAATAAAGGAATAGCACATTTCACCAATGGACTTCACAGATAATTGTGACATTTCCGTTCTTTTACTTAATCAGCCTTCATGTTCACTTTTTAGACACTTCATGCCAGTTGAATGCAAGTGAAAATAGTCTGAATAGAAAGCATCAGACAGTCTTAAAGAACCTGCTCACTGGAAGAAGCAGCAACTTTGGAGATTACATATCTACATATTTTGCACAGCTAGACTAATCAAACTGAAATATTACGTACTGAAAACCTTAATCTATGGAAAGATGGACCTCAGCATCAGCAACACAATCACCTCTAGTAGTACTCAAGATGCCTATGCTGTACATTCAGCTACCCTTGTCCAGAAGTCTAAGGAGTTTCCACACTATGTATGCTAAGCAGAGAGTCAGTGGCGCTGCATTCTCCAACACTGAATTAAGCCAATCCTGGAAGACCCAGGAGGATCTTTGCTGCTCCTAGTAAGCAGAACTTCCTTGGCAAGCACTTCTTCAGAATTAAGAATTAACAAGTCTTTAGCAGCAGACCATAAAACTGGACAGATTCCGACACCAGACCCATTCTGGCAAGTTTTTCTCTAGACACACAAGAATGCCCATTCTTTGTCATTGAACTCTGAACATTAAGCACCGAGCCAAAATAGCACACAAATGTGTCAAGCTAAACCACCTTTCTTCAGCCCTATCATTTTACTGTTTGGATCTAACACGCATCCTTTGTCATACGTAAGTATCCCTTCCCATCCATACAGGTCTCGACAAGTGTCGTTTCTACAGACATCTTTCTATACCTCTTTTTCTCCTTTCTCAAGCTAACTACAAGGAGGAAAATTCAGGAAATACAGCATCTGGTCAGATTCTGGAACAAACTCAGAAGCCCAGTGGAACTGATGAGCAGCTAGTACACATTCCTTGCTAAAACTATCAACTCCAACCTCATGAGCTAAGGATGCATGAGGAAAGACTAACAGTACTCAAGGACTCTAGAAACTCACTGAATAAGGAATACAAATATTATTTGAATGATGCAATTAGTCAAACCTCTTTATTTTCCACCCTCTCAAGCCTCAAGGCTCACCTGTGCAATCTGTATTGGCTGAGATAGAGGGATCTGCGTCATCGGCGTTGCAGCAGAGGCCGAGATGGTGGCACCAGCAGCGCTGTGCTGCTGACTGGCTGAATGCTGCACTGCAGCCGCCAGCAACTGTGCCTGCGCCTGTTGTAGCAATAACTGTTGCAGTGCTGGCGTCAACGTGAGCTATAAATAATTAGAAAACACAGCCATTAATAATGGAAAGAGCCACTTCAGCTACAAAGTCATTAGCTAGCTCATTACTAGTTATATTAACCAGACATTCCTAGAACTATTACTACAGTTCAGCCATTAACTAGCCAATGACTCTGGCCTTAAGTAAAGACAGCTGGCTACTCAACACAGTGTAGGACCAAACCTACCACAGACCTGACATAAAACAAACTGCATGAATGCAAACATTTGCACTTACTGGAACCTACAGAACCTAACTTTACTCCTAAGTTTTCCTCACAACTCTACCAGGAGGTTCAGGAAAAAGGTAATTAAGTAGCAAGCAAAAGAAAAGAATCAGTATTGCCAGGAGTTGAAAGGAAATTTACACCCAGCAGAACAGCAAGTGATTAGCCAGAGAGGAATGAGAAGCAGGAAGGCTGGCTATGGCTACTGAACAAACTGATAACCCCCCAGCTGCTTCACATTAGCATGAATCCCTGCCATATTCCATCATTTCCATTATGCCCTAAGATATAAGTAAAGAACATGAGCTCCATTTGTTTCTCTCCAAGTCTCCCCATCTGCTTTTTTTTTTTTTTAATAGAATAGAGTTGGCAAGTTTACATCCCTTCCCTTTCCCAAACACACATTATCTCTGTGAAACAGGTGGCAGCAGTCACTCCTTTACATGTAAATGAATCTTGATGCCCATATTTACTACAATCCATATCTGCATAGGCCTGGAGTTTTGAATGTTTCACTACTTCAGACAATCATAAATTAAAACAAACCAATATTTTTTGAGAATGAGAAAAATAATAAAATATGCTGGGTTTTAATAACGTATTAAAAGTGAGACTGTTTTAAAGCTTTCAAATGTAATTAACCAAAAACTAAATAGGACGTTTATTTACACACTAGAATACGAGAAGATTTAACAATTGAACATGAAATTGAGACCTCGTTTCATTCAAGGGTAGAGATGATCTAACCTAATACTTCAAATAATAAATACATTGTTGGAGCAACTGCCCTAAATTCCTTATTAACATGCAAACTCTTAAAACTGCAAAGCTGATTACGTGGAAGCAAACTCTTTAACCAAGCCAGCCCATTCACAAAACTTACTCTTTTTTTAAATGACTGAAAGCATTTACAACAATTCAGAAACACCAGTAATCCTAAAACAACAGTTATTCCATAATTACTCCCAAAGCCTTGCAATTAAAAACTCAAAATTGGTAAGTTAAAACAGAAGGGTTGAATAGGCTTAAGGCAAGCACTAATATAGTTACTTAAAAAGAAATGTGTTTGAGAAGAGGAAGAATTAGTGTCAGCAGTTCCCATCATTTTTGTTCTTCACCCAGCTACCTGATAAGATTTAGTCTCATGCTCTCATGCCTCATTTTAATCTTGCAAAAAAATAAAAATTCCTCTTTATGACATCAGTGACTTTCTTATTTGTACACACACCACGTTTTAACTTCATTGCAGAGTCAAGACGAATACTGAGAACAGAGAGAACGAATTTTTTTTTGTTTTTGAAGCAAATACTTTGCAACAAAAACCAAAAGATTAAAGTCTGCTTTTTTATAGGAAGATATTTTCTGTCCCCTCTTTCACTCAAGTTTCTTCCTATGTTAAAGGAAATGACAATAACCTTCACTGACAGTTCTACGGGGACTGCCGTAGATACTGCCATCATTTGCCGGACAGGAGGCTTACTGCAGTATACTTGGGTAAATCTTACCCCAGTGATCTGTCCTCCGGCCAGCATGAGCTGGGTCTGGGGTATGGCCGCCTGCACTGAAGGCTGCTGGGAAGGCTGGCTTGGCTGCTGAGAGTCCCCAGATTCTTCATTAGATTTAGACTAGTCAAAAAAAAATACAACTCTTTATAGTGTAAAACAGATGTTAATGTATAACATTGCTATCTCAACACTGCACAATAAAAATCTTTCATCTGCATACAAAAAGCCCTTGGGTTTATTTTAAGAGTGTGTTTAAGCACTGGCTCTATGTGGCCACTATCTCAGCTACGATTGCTCAAACATGTCTGTAGGTAATGCAGCTTAAACAAAACAAAAAGGCTCTTTGGTCTTCTGTAACTCTGACATTATTTTCAGGTCTCATTTCATTTTATGCAATGCAACTGAAGCCGACGCTACCTTTCACCATAAAGAAAGAAAAGGTTGCTAAAACTATTAATTGCCTAAAATCCTGAAGAATGGAACAAGGGAAAGGAGATTTTGTTTCCATTTTGTATGTCTGCATCCTGTACCTCTAAGTCATCATACTGTTGGCTTACACAGAACTGGTTTAAAAAATCCTCACAGGTTTATCTACCTACAGCAAAACACATAATACATACAGTGCTTTTAAATAATCAAAGTTTAGCATTTATTTAACTGAATGCTGCTTTATTTTAAAAGATTAGGCGGGGTTGATTTTTTTTTTGTAGTTTTGGGTTTTGGTTTTTTTTTTTAACAGAAGAAATTGTGAAGACATGAGGGAGGAGATGTAAGTGCATGAAGAGGGGGAGAGAGTTTTATGATAATTAAAACTGGTTATGCAGAACATTAAAATTCTGCATAGATTTGCATATTTTCCACCACCTGTTTTGGGGACTGCAGAGCAGGCTAATTAACATAAAGGCTCTGATTAATTCTGCCAGTCATTGAGCGATAATTACAGCGCAGGACTGTAAACATTCTGCACTGGAGATACAGCCTGTTTGCCAACATCTCTCTCAGGGATGGAAGTTTACCATGGCAACCAAGGCAATTTTCTGCCTCCTTCCTCTTAGAAAGGAAGGTCACTATACCTCCTCTTCTTTCCGAATTGTTATTATGTATAAGTGGGTCCACATTCTATTGCATTTCATGTAATGTACTACCTACATTCTTTAATAACAAGCAATACTGAAACCAGTTTTCAATAAAACTGCATCCCTTTCTCCTTAATATAGTACTGAGAGGAAGTGGCACGTTAACTGATACACTGAAGTGTTCAGCATCATAAAAAAGTTTGAAAGCTTTGTTGTCTCACGTACATTATTAAACAACAATTACTCTGACTTATTTTGAAATCACTATCTGTTATTTACACAAACAATCTACACTAGCCACATCACATAGTTAATGTTACATTACACTCCTATATTCAGCTACCAGAAGTAAGGACAAATGGCAAAGTAATACTTGCTATGTTTAAAATAAATGAATAAATGGAAGAACATGAAATATTCCTGGAGTTTTATAGTTTTCATGATACAACACCTGGCTGAAATTCAGTATAAAATTACAATCACTGCATGTTTTAAACTCTAGTTTCTGAATGCTTACAATCCTGAACCTGATCTACAGTTGTAAAACTATTATTCCTTCATACCCATCACTTGCAAGACAAGTCAGAATGAAAAAAGAGTAACATATCATAGGTTAAAAACTATCTCTAATGGGACCACAATGCTGTCTGCAATGAGAGAAGGACAAGCAGCAGAAGGAAACTGTCTTTACCTGTACATTTAAGGACTGAGCAGCAGCCTGTAAACTTGTTCCAGCGAGCTGGACCTACAACACAGTGCAAAAATTGAAATGAAATAATGTAGAATCCACAGAAAACTTTAACAACGTGAAAAGAACAACCTCCCCACCCACACCCCAACAAAAACTCCCCCAAGAACAATGCATGCCCTTCTAACACGTGAATCAGTGAAATAGGGGTTGTGCTCCAGGCTGAAAAAATCTCTTCCACAGTGTTATTTGTCTACCTCTTGCTTGAACGTATTCCTGCCTAGGGATCTGGATACTATCATGAAATTGAGTTGAAAGAGAGTATTTTGGGGTGGACAGGCTAACTATTCCTATTCCTGTTAAAAAAATCCAGGCTTCAGGGGAGGGTCTTAAGCTCTACTCATCATCCTTCTAATATTTCAGAATGGGTCATACCCCAAATACGTACACTGCATTCACCCGCTTCCTTATACGACAGAGGAACAATCACCTGCATAGCACAAAACCAACAGCATACAGCCTCTTCCTC